CGTGAATTTCTAGTATATTTTCAGTGCCTTTAAGAGCACTTCTTTTTGACCTGGGACTGCTCTCGCCTTTGGCCATATATGGTTTTAGAAGTGGGATGGCTTACCGTGAGGTCATCTGAGCTGTACCCAGTGTCCGAACCGTATTAGGGACCCCCATGGGTAACAGTAATGATGGGATGTGTATAGTGTACTTTTCAGTAATACTGGTCATATGTCATCATTTTACTGATTTTATTTTATTTGAAGGTGTTTTGGTCAAGATGTGATACATGCTGCTGTACCTTTTAATGTACAGGAATTTATTTTTGTAATGTACACAAAATTAAAGTTTTGGTTGTCTGTATGTGTGTGTGTGTGTTTTAAAATACTTTCCCTGATTTTTGTTATTAGCCTAAAAGGGCATTTTGCAAGGTATTTTTAATGATTGTTACATACACCTTGTGATGTACTCTTGGACACATCATCAGTGATAGTACCTGGGGTCATAGGGGGTTTCGGGTCTTTCAACTTCAGACCCCCTTACCCAGGCAACCCGACCGGGAGTGATCAGTTCCCGACCTGTGTCCTGACCTGAGAAGCGTTCGCCCACTGTTTGTCCCTCCTGATCCACAGCCAGCATGAGGCTTTTTCCGCAGCCTCTGAAGCTGCACTAATGGTTCTTCTCTTGCATGCTCCTGTGATTCCCAGGAGGCTGTAGGCCCTGCAGAGTGACTTTCCTGCAAAGCCCCTTCCCCCAACCTCGATGGGCAATCACTGTGCACGCCACCCCCATCTCCGGCACTCCTCTACCAGCTCCGCATATTTCTCCCTTTTCCTTTCACTCACTTCCACCATCCTCTCCTCCCAGGGCACTGTTAGCTCCAACAAGATAAGCCCTCCACAACTCTGCCCATGAAATCTTCCTCTCCATGGCATCTTCCCATCTTGTCCATGCGCCCTGTTGCCTCATTCCCACCATCTGGCTTGCACGCTGCTCCTCGATCCCAGCCCTCACTTCTTTTTGGACCAGGTCACGCCTTTCCTTACTCCTCAGTTTGTTGTAATGGATTGTTGGAGTACTACACATTCCTGTACGGCCAATAGCCACGGGACCCACCAGTTCCTTATGACGCAGCCGTGATTCTGCCTGGCCCACCGCCTCATGTGCCCTCCACTTTCTGCCAGTCCTGACCTCAATGCCAGCTTGAGATACTCTTGGGTCCTTGGAATCCCTGTACTGAAGCAGTTCCCTTGCTCTGGTAACCATGAACTCCTCGCTAAGGCTGTTGATTGGTAGCGTTAACTTATTTTTTTTGCCGTAAAGGGCGATGCTGCTCAGACGTCTTGGCAAGCCCAGCCACCGTCGAAGGTAATTGCTCACGCTCCTCTCAAATCCTTTGTACAACAACAATGGCCACAACATCCTAGGTAGGATTCCATGTTGGTATAACCAAGCTTTGAATTTCCCTGGTAGCCCTGACTTGTCAACTGTAGCCAGCTCTCTAGTTGTTCCTTTGTGCCCCTTCCCCTGATGGAAGGGGCATCCTTTAGAGAGCAGTCAAAGGTTTTCCCAAGGCTCTTCACAGGCTTTTCTGTGACTGATGGGACTTGGGTACTTCCTAGGGAGAAGTGGAACTGGTCTGTTACCTTCCCTCTCTTCAGTATCATGGATCTGGATTTTTCCGGCTTTAAACGCATCCTCGCCCAGGTGGTTAACCTCTCTAAGCCCTGAAGAATCCATCTGCATCCTGGGACTGTTACAGTTGTTACTGTCAGATCATCCATGAATGCCCTGATGGGGGACTGACGGATTCCGGACTTGGTTTTGGGGCCTCTACATTCCGGCTCAGCAGATTTGACCAGCATGTTCATGGCCAGGGAAAGAGAATCACTGAAACAGTGCATCCAGTGATAATCTCCTTTTCCAGATGATGCCGCTCAGATGTAACTTTGCCGGAAGTGAATCTCAGATTAAAGTTTTTATAATAATCCATGATTAGGATTTTGATGCTGCTCGGAACATGATGTCTCCCCAATGACACCTCCACTAAGCCATACGCATTGGCTACGTCCAGCCATAATACAGCCAGGTTTCCTTTCCCTTCACAAGCCTCTCTAATCAGTTATGTCACCACTCCACTGTGTTCTAGGCAACCAGGAACCCCTGGAATCCCTTCCTTTTGCACAGAGGGGTTGAGGTATTGGTTCTTCAGGACAGCCGTTGGGAAAGGATACTGAAAAATCTCTTCCCCTCGACGTTTAGCAGTGATATGGTCCTAAACTGCTCTATGTTGGTTGACTTATCTTCCTTCGGGATCTACACCCCTTCTGCAGATCTCCATTGTCGGGCAACTTTCCCCCTCCTCCAGATGACCCTCAGGATCTTCTTCCCAACTGGGTACTTTGATGTTGAAGTCAATGGTTGGTATAGGTGGATTAATGAGGTGTCTGCATTCCCCAGGGTCCTCCAGGGCTGCATCGCTAAAGGTGTCATGCAGATAGGCGTCTATCTCCTCTTTTGAGCAAGTGAGTTGGCCACTGTGCTTCTGGCCTAGCAGCTGTTTAGTAAATCCAAAAGTGTTTACAAGGAGGCAGCTTGTTTTTTAGCACTCTCTCTCTGCCCCCTTGAACTGCAGCTTCAGGAGTTGGAGTTCTTGTCTCGACTGTGCAATCTTCTCTGCCCTGCAGTTCTTGAAATACTGGTTAGTAGCAGCATGCCTTACCGCCAAGCCAAACCTTTCGGAGGCAACACTGGTTATCATGGTCACATCATCATCAAATTGCTGCTACTCTCTCCCTTTGCTGGCTGGAGGCCACTTAACCCGCCGTTGATGTTGTGGGATGCCTGGTGCTTGGGCTTCCGGAACATGGAAAATCTAGTAATAAATTACTAATAAGCTGAAATACTAATAAAAATGTTCAGGGAACACATTCATGTGAAGTTAAAAATATATTTAAGCTGTTCTTCAAGTATAGCACAAAAGGTATTTTAAGTTAAATTTAAAGAAGTATATTTAAATTAAAGTAAAGGTACTTAAAGTGGTTTCTTTTTGACACAACTAAGTATATTAATATATTAATATTGCAATTATCTTAAAGTTGACTTTAAGTATTTCTAAAATGACACTTATCATACTTTAATGTTGTTCTAAAATAACGCAATTAATATAAACTTAGTATAGTACAATTAAAATGTGTAAAAAGTGCATACAAAAAAGTACATTTCTTTTTCACCTGGGCAGAAATAGCTCAATTACAGATAACCAACCAGAAAAGCAAATTGCATTCCCTAGAAATAACCATCTTGGACTTTCTAACCTGATGCATAGAAGATGAAATATTATTAAATATATTTATCTTTTACTCCAGCAGGTTTGTAATTTTTCTTTTTGTTTTTATGGGAGTAATTGTACTTTTTCTTGAGTAAAGACTTTGAGTACTCTACCTATAACTGGCCAGTGGACCCAGTACTAGCACTGACATGTTGAACATGAGACAGAGAGCAGGGATGAGGGCAATAGCACAACAGAGTAAAAGCCAGCACAGTCCAATGTACCAGTTTATGGTCAGACTGATGATCATATGGATTTAGTTATCAAGGGCTGAAGTGATTTATTTAGGAGAGTTAGAGAGGAGTTGAGAAAAATGTATTTTAATGCTCATTTAGTACTCTACTTGCATAAAATTCTCAAGAATACAGGAGCATGTCATCAGAGTTTGCATTGATTTGCAGTTCTGTGTTCACAAACATTTGTTGCAGGGAGAGTCAGGGCCAAGAAATATCACAGTCAGCTCATGTGTAACATGCATTTGTGCGGCTAGCTCCATTAACTAGCAGCTGTTCCGTGGTTTTTATGGTATGTAGTAAGTTTTGTTCTATAATCCGTCTCTCCGATTGTGCACCCGAGTCTTCATAATCTCCCCTCTCCGGTCTTTCTTCTGTCACTGCAAATACCCTCTTCCAGCATGTAATAAATGTAATAAATACATTCTGTTTTCAAAGGTCATTAGAAATGAGCATTTAAGTGCTTTATTTAAAAAGAAATCGTGGGGGGTGTTCCCCACAGGTTCAAAGTCACTCCTACGGCCCTGTTCTCCCCCCTCCCTCCCCTTCGGCTCGCAATCACTGTGCACAAATACACATGATTCGACTATCAGTTGACTATAAGCAGGACTTGACGATTCTGATTCGACTATGTAAATCCTTAGTCAGGGACAGCCCTAGTTCACTGCAATAGACCTTTATTTCACACAGTGATGGCGGATCTGTCTGTAAACTCTGTTATACTGCAAATACGAAGAGATTTACCTAGTGGTAACTGGCTTAATTAGCGTAGTGTGAACTCATTGGGCAACGACTTGAATCCAGCTTTAATCTGTATTTGCATACAGCAGTAATTAGCAGTTACCCGACTTGTGCAGCTTGCCCTGATGTTATTTGTCCTCATTTCTCTGAATATCTGCAATGGAGGTGCAAACAGACTTGAGTGTTACTGGTAGAGTTATGCAATAGGAACATTCAAAAATGAAGTGTTGCCAGCAACAGCAAGTTTGATGAATTGTTCACTGGACCTTTACACATTCATTTACAGTGATCTTGATAAAAATATTTAATGTGTGACTGTGACAATGTGTATAAAATATAGGCTATATATAGTTCCTATTTTGATACATTTCTCATATGTTGTGATTTCAGTATCATATAGAACATTATCTTTTGATTTTGCTATAAATGTGATGTTCACTAGGGTTCTGGGTTAAACATGCAGAGAGTAAGACAGCTTTTCCATGTATATATTTACCACTTTTCTGGCAGAATGTTGCTTTTAAGTACCTGGGACTATGATGACAACATTAAAAAATGCAGGTATTGAATGGTAAATGGTATTAAAATCCATTTTGTGGAGAAAGTTTTTTTTTGCCAGAACACCATAGTACTTTAGTAACTACATTCTCCTCAATATATTTATGTATTTATAACGAGATGTGTTGATGAGAAAACTGTTTTATTTTCTCTGCAGATTTTCAATGATGGTAAGCATCAGAGCAATCAAAGCAGGGACTTTCATCTTGCTGTTGGGAACTCTTCTCTTAGTTGTTTTCCTCTGTAGCGATTTTATTGACCCCAACATCTTCAGCCTCCAAGTAGATGTGAGAAAAGATGACAGTCAAACAAAGACACCCACCAAAAATAACTCCTACGTATACTCCTGGCCAAGATGTCAACGAAATGTGTCTGCTGCCAACATCAAAGGCTTCAACTCTTTTTCTGGTAGCATACAAGACTTTCTTTACTATGAACACTGTCGCCATTTTCCCATGCTACTGGACATTCCTGATAAATGTGGAGGAGCTGATAAATCAGCAGAAGTCTTCCTTCTGCTGGTCATTAAAAGTTCCCCTGTGAACTACGACCGTCGAGAGGTTCTGCGCAAAACCTGGGCTAAAGAGAGGTTACACAATGGTGTGTGGATCCGAAGGATCTTCATCTCAGGAACAAGTGAGACTGGTTTTGACAAAGAGAGACTGAACAAACAACTCGAACTGGAGAAACGTGAGTACAACGACATCCTTCAGTGGGACTTTAGTGACACATTCTACAACCTCACCTTGAAGCAGATTCTCTTCTTAGAATGGATGGAAAGAAACTGTCCGAACGCTCGCTTCCTGCTAAATGGTGATGATGATGTCTTTGCCAACACAGACAACATGGTTGAGTTTCTCCAGGGCCTCAAGGATAATAATGGAAGCAAGCACCTTTATACTGGCTATGTGTTCAACAATGGGAGGCCCCACAGATGGACAAACAGCAAGTATTTTATCCCAGTGCAAGTGCACAAGTCAGATTCCTATCCCCCCTACTGTGGCGGTGGAGGATTCCTCCTGTCTGGCTATACAGCTTTGGTCATATACAAAATGTCCCAGTCCATTCCCATTCTTCCTATTGATGATGTTTACATTGGGATGTGCCTGACCAAAGCAGGACTCAGTCCTGTTTCACACATGGGTGTGCAGACACTAGGATGGTACACTCCCTTCAGTACACTTGATAGATTTGATCCCTGCTTTTTTAAAGAACTTCTGCTGGTACACAGATTCCTTCCAGGTCACACGTATCTTATGTGGCGTAGAATACATGATCCCAATCTGAAATGTGGTCTCTCCAAGAAAAGGCTTAAGCAGCACCAAACTTATAAGTGGTAAAAGTGCATGAATGTTTTGTCATTGTTGAATGAGATTCTTTTGATTGCAATGGGCCCCTGGTCGTTAAGGAGGTCATTACAGTTGCTTATAATGCATATAATGATAAACAGTCCTGGTGGTGACCACAGTCTTACTAAAATATCTCTCTCTATCTCTGGGTTTCTTAAGACCAAAAATGATTATTTTAAATAAAAAATGTATGTAATTAAATTGTTGTCTTAAATCAGTGCTTTCATCCAGCACTGTTGGGATACTGCAGAACATGTTATGTGGAGAACTAAAAGCATTTATGAATTATCGAATACTGATATTTGTATAACAACCTGTCCAGTTTACTCATTCAGTGGCTGTTATTTAGAAGCACAATTGTGGCTTTTGCCTTTGAGTAATAATTCCAACTAATTTTCTAGTTATTCGAGAGCATGAATTAGGCGTTTTTTACTCCATGACACCTCCCAGGTTTCATCAGAATCAGAATTAGTTTATTGATCCCCAAAGGGAATTTCTTTTGTTGCATTTGCTCACTTTGCATGTCACAATAATAGGGAATATGAATAAAATGGAAAGTGGGTAAGAATAAAATATAATGTAATATACAAATCTAATTTAAAAATATAAAACATAAATATAAGTAATGTGGCTATGTACAGTATTTTACAGTTTTAAAAGAAATGTAATGATAAATAGTAGTAGTGAATAGTGAATTAGATATACTTATTACTAATAGCGCAGTTGAAATGGAATTGATACAAACATAAATTTGATTAGATTTTTAAAAAGATTTTGGTATTTGAACAATTACAGACAAGTCTGAAAAAATCTCACACATGAGGCTATCCTGTTAGCATGATGTTAGCTAAGCAGGCCTGGAGGGAACGCAGCACACTGAGGCCAGTAGGCTTAACTGGGAGGTACAACCAACTATCCTTTGCATAGCAATGGAAGGGAATATCGAATCGCCAGGTCATGTCACAGAGGGGGAGCATGTAAGTGGAAAACAAAATAGGTCTGAAGATTGATCCTTGGGGCACAGCGTAATCAACAGAAGAAAAAGCAGATTAAGCAGATACAGTTATTAACAGACACATAGAACTTCCTGTTAGACAAATACGAGGCAAACAAGTCCAATAACTTGCCAGAGATGCCCCACCAGCGCCTCAGTCTATCTAACAAGAAGCCATGGTGTCAGAAGCAGCGGACAAGTAAATAAAGAAATAAAGGGCAGTTTTGAGATTCGACGATAGTGGTCGAGGTTGGTGGGACACAAGTTGAACACAAACACATTTAAAATAATCTGGAACACAATCAGATGACAGTGAGCTATTTATGATAAAGAACAAATAGGTACCTAGACTGTCCATGATTTCAAATAAAAACTTTGTAGGGATAATGTCCAAGGGGCTGGAGGATACCCTCATTTGAGACATTGTCTCAGTGAGATGCATCCGGTCTGCATCCAAATAGGCTAGGTAGCCGCATGCTAGCGTCCAACCAACGGTGTCCTGTCCTCCGTACATGGCTGACTATCTAAATCACCTGTTCCCCCTCCTTCTCTGGCCCCTTTGCCAACTGGCAACAACAAGGTACCATCTACTGCCACTGATTCCCCCTTGTGGAAAGTATATAGCCATACTTCTATAACTCCAGTCCACATTGGGAGGCCGACTTGCCACATCGCTGCCTCATGCATCCCTAAAATCCCTGTATTGACTTTGCATAGGCCTGTTAAACGAGACAGACACACTCGTTTCAGCAATAGTAATAACTTAATTAGGATACAAGCTTAATCCTCGCCTCAGGTCATTACGTCTGCTTTACCACAGTATAGATCACTAGAGTTGGCTCTTCTTAATGTTAGATCTCTCTCAAACAAAACTTTCATTTTAAATGATTTTATCTCTTCTGCTGACTTAGACTTTATGTTTCTGACTGAATCTTGGCTACGTCCTGGTGATCACAGTCAGCTTATTGAATTATGCCCCCTGGATTATGACTATTTTAGCCGCCCCAGGGAGAGTGGCCGTGGGGATGGCATTGTGGCTGTTTTTAGAAAGCACTTTAAATGCACTCAAACTCCGTGTAACGATTACTCTTCTTTTGAAGTGCTCTTATTCAAACTTGGTGGCCCCCCACCGGTCCTAATTGCTGTCATCTACCGCCCCCCCAATCCAGCTGGTCCCTTCATGCTGGAATTCCCTGAATTTTTATCTGATCTTGTTTTATATGAGGACAGAATCCTTATTTGTGGAGATTTTACGTACATTTTCACGTTGACGAGTCTTCAAATCTCCCTGCTCTTGATTTTTTAAGTATCATTCATCCTTTTAATTTTACTCAACATGTGTCGGGCAAAACTCATCACTATGGCCACACTTTAGACTTGGTCCTTAGCTTGGGTGTGAAGATATCCGCTGTAGAAATTAAGGACATCTTTAAATCTGATCATCAGGTCGTTCATTTCCACTGTGAACTACAGGCTGCTAGTGTTGTCCAGTCTTTATCAAAACAAACCCGCAGTTTAAATGAGCAGAGCGCCTCTAAATTTGGTGCCCTCTTCAGTTCATTTAGCAATGTGTCCCCTGATATCTCCTCTACTAATGATAATGTCAACTATTTTAATTCCCTCTGTTCCTTAACCCCTGATCTCATAGCCCCTCTGAAAAACATACAACACTTAAATCTGCTAAGCAACCCTGGTTAAATGCAGATATCAGAAGCTGCAAACGGGAATACAGAAAAACAGAAAAAATGAAAAAAATCAGGTCTCTAGGTCCATTTCACGGCCATGAAAGAGTTACTATCTTCGTACAATAGGTTGGTAAAAGATGCAAGAGCTCACCATTTCTCAAATCTTATTGCTGTCCACCAGCACAATCCTAGTTTTCTTTTTAAGACTCTCGATCTGTTGGTCAACCCTGCCTCTCCCTGTGCCTCTGCTGATTGTGATGCTGATTGTGAGATATTTTTAACACACTTTGTCTGTAAGGTGGAATTATTAAGAGCCAGTATTAGCCCAAACCCTGTCTTTTTAGATGTTGTGCACCCTAACCAGGATCCTTGGAGTTCCTTTTCTTCTATTACCATGGCAGAACTTATGGAAATTATGTTGAAGATGAGGCCTTCCTCTTGCTCTCTTGATCTGATTCCTGCAAAGTTTTTAATAGAAGTTTTGGATTATATTAGACCACACCTGCTTTTAATTTTTAACAGCTCATGATCTACTGGCTGTGTCCCGGTCTACTTTAAGGCGGCATGTGTACAACCTGTCTTAAAGAAACCTAGCCTTGACCCCAACATCCTTGATAACTACCGCCCAATCTCTAAACTGCCTTTTCTTTCAAAAACCCTTGAAAAGATAGTTTCTAAGCAGCTCCTTGCTGTAATGGAAAATAGCCCACCAACCTTAGTATGCTGAGTTCATTACACGACTGCCTTACCGACATAAAACATTGGATGTCAAATAATTTCCTACAACTTAACTTAACTTGGCTCCTTGGTTACAGGTCCCCAACATCTCTGCAATCAAATTCTTCTCTCTTCTGGCTACCTGCTACAACACGCTTTGAGCATCATGTTTCTAAACTGGTCCAGTCCAGCTTTTACCACCTTAGAAATATCGCAAAAATAAGGCCTATTTTAAATGTTACAGATGCAGAAACTGTTATACATGCTTTTATCTCCTCACGCATTAAGTATTGCAACAGCCTCTTCACTTGCCTTAATCAGAAAACCCTAAATAGATTACAGACCGTTCAGAACTCAGCTGCTCGGCTCCTAACTAGAAAAAGAAAATATGATCATATCACCCCTATTTTAGCATCATTGCGCTGGCTCCCTGTTTGTTTTAGGATTGATTTTAAAATTTTTCTCATTACTTTTAAGGCTATTCATGGCTTGGCTCCTGATTATATTTTAGATATTTTAACTCCGTATGAGCCCTCCCGTGGCCTAAGGTCTTCTGGCAAGGGCCTCCTGTCTTTTCCTGCAGCCAGACTAAGAACAAAAGGTAACCGAGCATTTGCTGTCAGGGCCCCCAGGCTCTGGAATGACTTGCCTGAGGAAATTAGGCTGGCAGGGTTGGCTTCTTCTTTCAAATCTCTTTTAAAAACTTATATTTACTGGAAAGCATATCCAGATTTTATCTGAGCTGCCACTCGTTTTACTATTCCTGCCCTACCGTTCTTATCACTTTGTTTGCTTGTCTTATCCTCCTTACTTCCTACTGAACATATTTGTTATACTTTATTGTGATCCTTGTTCTTATATTCTGTATTTTATCCTCCTGTATCTTTTACCCACGTGGTTATTTGTTTTTGTATTTTATGGGTGATTTGTTGTGAAGCACTTTGTACTTTGTTTGATAAGTGCTATATAAATAAAGCTTATTATTATTATTATTATCTCAAAGTCAAAGACAGTTGACTCTTTTTGCCAGCCAGCTATATCGATCTGGAATTCTGAGATCAATGCCTGCTTCAGCAATGTTATTTCAACTGGTCCAACTTTGTGGTGTTTTGTTACTGGACTATATTCTACTGAAAGGTTTTTGCAATGTTATGGAAATTAGAAACACTGGTAGGGCTATAGGTTACAGCCAAATTAGTTGGTATCAGTGCCCATGCAAAAGGTCTATTGTTAATACAAGCACTTCAGGGAATGAGGGAACAATCTCATGCTTAAGAGTGACTTTGAAACAAATTACACTATATTATATTTTGTAAATTACTTACACCTCTTGTGTATTAACGAGGTGCAGTAAAACCTGTATGTGTTTCCTGGTTGTTCCTGGTGTTCCACTTCCTTGTAGTTCGTCAGTCTCTTTTTTTGCCCCTGAGTGCCACGCCCTTGAGGAAAGGGACTCACCAAACCAGTCAGATAGTGAAGCAAAATACAAAGACTTGTGGGAATGTATTGTATTTATTGTATTGATGGATTTGTGTGCAGTATAATTGTGATTTCAAAGGAATATGTAATTGTAGCACAGACTACATTTAAAGTAAGCTTTATCTTTTACTACCTTTACTTAATGCTGTAAAATATAACATCTTAAGGGGTAAGGGTATATCATAAGGGTAATAGAGGCAACATTTCAAGATTTCCCCATTGGTACCAAATGAGAAAAATTTACATTTACTCATTTGGAAGACGCTTTTATCCAAAGCAACTTACATTTGATAAACAACATACAAGCATCAACAAAGCATCAAATAGCCTACAGCACGAGATCTACAACTGACAATGCATACTAGTAAGAGCAGCAATAAATACTAGTAAGAGCAATAAATACCAGTAAGAGCTAATAGCACATATCACATCAAGAAGTGAGAGTTAACAAAAAAGTGCAATCAATACAAGATAATTGTAAGGGATAGAAGAAGAGCACACTTCTTGAAGTTAGAGAGGGACGCCCCTGCTCTGATGGCAATATAGCTAATATAGAATTAGCTTCAAAATTTTACATGAGCACTTTATTTTCTGCCAAAAACTAAAAACAGTTTTTGTTATTTCAATTGCAGCATTTCTGTATTTATGTTTTTGTCTGAGCTCTACTTACTGATTTGAGGTGGGTGGGGCTAAACTTGTAAAAGGCAATATATACATATTTCCATGTGTAGTGACCCTTTGCCTATCAAAAAAAAGACTACCACCATTGTTGCTGATTGAGTAATTTAAAAGTGCAATTCACTAGCAAGGACCACAATCAACAGATACGATTAAATGATTTATTGATAAACAAACAGAAAGATGTATGATGCTTACAGTTGCTGAATAGAAATTCGAAAGCGTTGTGGGGAAGCTTGATAGGGAAATCCGCCGTGCCCAGTTGCTACGGCGGATTTCCCTATCTCTAGTCTGGACAGAGAAAGGGGTGGGCAGGAGGGGTGCGGAATGCGAGAGCAAAGAAGAGGACATGTGTTGTGTGGGTATTTATGGAAATGTCGGGAGTTAAGTAATTGATGTGTGGTCCCGCTCCTGAAACTCTGCTGGTAGCACCACTAAATGGTGAAATGTCCAGGGTTTCCAATACAACTTAATTTATTTGTTACAGTTTGTGTGGTTTCCAATATGTACAGAGTACAGTCACAGTTAACCGACAATCATAAGCAGAACAGCATGAGTCGCAAGTCATGAATATTTAGCCTAATGTTATTAAGAATTCAAAATCAAGATTTATATCCACGTTTTAGCTTTAAGACTATTTAAAAATGTACTTGAGTCCCCCTTCACACATGAATAAGTCAGTAACAGTTATTTACATATATAATTTGATTTATTTTATGGTATTGCCTAGAAAGAAAGAAGCATTATTCCTAACAGTTGTGTGATCCAGCCCACACAGTCTCCTGTGTGGGCTGGATCTCATAAGGTAACTTAATCAGTTACTACAACAACTACAGTCTAATGAAACTACTCAGCCCTTTTTTAAAACTGAAACTATTTCACCAGCAAGATTATGTCACACAGGTACAAACTTAATAATGGATCCCTTCACAGTCAAATGACCACTAACCTCTGGGTCACTAGTGGATGTCGGGACCAGGGCACCAAAATGGACAGAAATACTAAAAAACTTAATTTTCTCATCATTCACTTTGGCTTGTGTTTCAGTACAAGGGCCTCAGCTTCGGCCTTCAGATTTATTTCTTTGCTCTTTGTGTGTGGCAAAACTGGATTAGGTGATGATGTATTGTAATGTGACAAAACCTGGCTTTCTAGTACAGAGACAACAAAGAGGTATCTTCTATTGTCTAAGACAAAGAATAAAATATTTCCCATGACGCAGTCTTTTCAGGAAGCTTTGACTTTCAGGCAATGCTTGTTGGCCGCATGCTCTGCGTTGGCAGAGACCTGATTGGCTAAACTTGGCTGAAAATGTGCCCTAGTCACAGCCTGTGCATCGTCATTACCTGTACACAGCACTCGGCACAGAATGCCTTGTAACTGTGAATGGATTCTAATCATGTTCTTACGTTTATCTACCTGTATGTTAAGGTAATTATTGCTGATTGTGTGTTATTCCTGTAAACTTCATTCCTCTACAAATTGTAAGTGTATTTTTTATCTAATTGATTTGAAAGTCTGATTTAATTCTTCTTACTTTATGTGAAAATCTTTTGTTAAAGTTTTGTTTTGTTTTAGTTTTTTAACATGCATTGTAATTATTTCACCAGCTTTGCCATAATTACAACTCATACAGTGGTGGTTCAGGTGATGGTATTAGTCAACACAGGACTTTCACCCAGGAGACTGCTCTTTTCATTTTCACTTAACATGTGAAAATGCAAATCACAATCTTTTGCTAAACACAAAAACTAAGTGGTTTAGGATCCTAAATAAATAAAATCAATCAATGAAACCAAACTGTGACTGTTTCGCAACGATTATAAAAGCAAGATAGGCTTAACAGAGATAAAACAGTACTTGTGCTGCATTCTGTTTCATAATGATACTCTGTTTTTGTCTTGTGTTACAAATCCAGCACACCCCTTTCCTTTACAGCTGTGTGTTCCCATCACCCGCCTAAAAGCCCAAACTCACACAGGCTGTGGCATGTTGAGGTCTATGGCATTTTACATCGCATCCTACCTTTCTTAGCCACTGTTGGCTCAAGTCACTGAATTTCAGTTATGTAACATAACCAGTTGTTCATCTTAATAGTTTACCCGTCACCTGCCAAGACTTCACCCATTTGCCCATCTAAGAAGTCAACCTACTGAAACACTGGGTTGATTTCATCCTCTTGGCTCTAAGATGCTGTATAAAGTTAATAATGTTGGATCACTATTTCATCAGCTATTTGGAATTTAGGGGATAATGCATAAATATAAATTTATAAAAATGAAGCAATTTCAGTTCAATCCATGATCAATCAGCCCAACTGTAAGGGAGAGAAAACCACAGTTTCACTAAAATCAGTGAATTAGGTTTGTTCAACCTATTTCTTTGTAGTCTGAATGTGTTTGTGTGTCTACATGCCAGATGCTCTGTTGTAAATTGAGTTTTTATCCCAGATTTTTTAGATAGATAGATAGATAGATATGTTTCTTTGTCTGAACACGTGTATGCTTGTGCATACAAGACACACAGATGGCAGTCTTGACCTTCCTTAGGCACCTGGCGCTCGTGCGCTCTCCTCTTAGTCGTGCCACTTTATTGCACACTGGGGCAGGCGGGGTTTTCGACATGGTTTAGTGGGTATCTCGTTCCCTCGAATGGGAACGTCTCGGGTTACGTATGTAACCCTGGTTCCCCAAGAAGGGGAACGAGACACTGCGTCGGCCCGCCGCATCTCTCTCCCCGCCTGAAGCGCCTGCTTCATAGTTTAAGCTAATGATGAGTGTGTACAGGTGTGCTTTATACTCCTCCGGTTATTCCGTCACACCTTACCGTTCTAGCAACAAGCCAATAGGATTGGAGTGATTTCATTCACGTTCAGACGTGCACTATCCCATAGTGTCGTAACCGACGCAGTGTCTCATTCCCCTTCTCGGGGAACCAGGGTTACATACGTAACCTGAGACGATTCATCTGGTGAGTTTTTGCTTTGTTTATTTTTTAAATAAATGCTTGTGTATATTAGGGCTAGACGATATGCCAAAAATTTATTCACGATAAAAAGTTTCATATCTTTTGATATCTATAATTATCACGATAAGTATCAAATCGTTATTTCTTGATTTTTGCTCCTGACTGAAAGTTGAAAAAACCTGATAGTTAATTGTGGTTTTAACTCTTCTTAATGGTTAACACTTGTTGCCAAACAGTGGTTAACAAATCTGAGGCAGAACATTCAAAACAATTATGAAAATCTGTGTCAACAAATATGCACAAGTAAAATTAAGTATAAGCTTTTTTCAGTCCTTTTTCCTCAACAAAATAAACATCTCAATTAAAAAATTAAGTCCTAATTTGTGCAAGATTCAAGTGAATAAAATTAAACATTTATTGAATATTTATTGAACATTTGTTAGATTGTTATTGTTATATAATTAATGTTATTGTTTTATTGTCCAGCCCTAGTGTATATACACACTGCTTTCTTTTATATTGAATAAGTATGACTATATTGCCTACGTCTTCCATGTAGAACTCAAATCCTTCAACCCACAATCTATTAATGGTAATTTTGTTTATAGTTCCAAATTGATAATTTAATATATTCTATGAGACTGAATAAGGTTATTGGCTATCAATTTTCTCTTGTTTAAGTGTGGTGCCCCAAGGTCAATGTAACTTTAAGTTATATTCAAGTAATAATTTTCATCACGCAAATCTCCATGATTCTTTTAAGATAAGCTTTGTACCACAGGCAGGACATAACTTCCTATCTCTGAGTGTGAGCGGGAATATTCTGCCATTGATGGTTATGACAACAAGGCCTGTAATAGGTTGTGTGAAAACAGCCTCTCATCGCTCCTTTTTGTGGATTTTAAAGGACCCCCCTTTGGCAAGTTTAGGCCCAACACCCTTTACCGCCCTTTATTAAATAAGATAACTCTCCTGAAAACAGTGGTATAGTTTGCATACTGGCTGTCACTAGTTAGATTTGTAGGATTAGTTGGGAGTTAGGCAAGTCAGGCTCTGCCAAGATGGCGACGGCCAGAGCCATCCACATTGAGCTTTACAATCGCTTAGAAACCTCATCTGCATGAGATATAAAGACATTTATTTTAGAGAAATTTGGTTATAATAATGAGGTTTCCACTGTAATACACATTATGTGCACCAGTGAATGCTCATGGCAGCACTTTCATGTCTGTACACTAAATCTGAAGCAACTGCCAGCGGCCTGTGAATTTAGCTTAGCTTAAGACAGGAAAAAAGGGGAAACAGGTTGCCTGGCTCACATTTTCTGTACAGGTGTGAGAGTGTAGTAGTTTATGTCAGATTGAGATGTGTTGATAAGCTAATTGTTGTTTTGTCCCTGCAGAATTTCAAGAATGACAAACCTCAGAGCGAGTTTCTTTCTGGTGGGAGTTCTTGGACTTTGGGCAATTTATATCAGTAAAGACTCTATTGACGCCAGCTTTTTAAGCCTCCAAGTAGAAGTGAGAAAACATGACAGTCAAATGAAGCCACACAGCAAAAACTCCTACGTATACTCCTGGCCAAGATGTCAACGAAATGTGTCTGCTGCCAACATCAAAGGCTTCAAATCTTTTTCTGGTGGCATGCAACAGTTTCTTTACTATGAACACTGTCGCCATTTTCCCATGCTACTGGACATTCCTGATAAATGTGGAGGAGCTGATAAATCAGCAGAAGTCTTCCTTCTGCTGGTCATTAAAAGTTCTCCTGTGAACTACGACCGTCGAGAGGTTCTGCGCAAAACCTGGGCCAAAGAGAGGTTACACAATGGTGTGTGGATCAGAAGAATCTTCATCTCAGGAACGATGGATGTCGGTTTTGCCAAAAAGAGAATGAACAAATTACTCGAGTTGGAGCAACGTGAGCACAGAGACATCCTCCAATGGGACTTTAGTGACACATTCTACAACCTCACCTTGAAGCAGATTCTCTTCTTAGAATGGATGGAAAGAAACTGTCCGAACGCTCGCTTCCTGCTAAATGGTGATGATGACGTCTTTGCCAACACAGACAACATGGTTGAGTTTCTCCAGGGCCTCAAGGATAATAATGGAAGCAAGCACCTTTATACTGGCCATGTGATCAGGAATGCGGCACCGAAACGATTGAAAAACAGCAAGTATTTTATCCCAGTGCAAGTGTACAAATCGAAATTATATCCCCCATATTGTGGGGGTGGGGGTTTCCTCTTGTCTGGCTATACAGCTTTGGTCGCATACAACATGTCCAAGTCCATTCCCATTATTCCTATTGATGATGTTTACATTGGGATGTGTCTGGCCAAAGCAAAACACGCACCTGTTCTCCATATGGGTGTCAAGACGCTAGGATATTCCATGCCTATTAACAAAGCAGTTGATGAACATGATCCTTGCTATTACAAAGAACTTCTACTGGTACACAGATTCCTTCCAGCTCCCATGTATCTTATGTGGCACAGAACACAGGACCCCAATCTGAAATGTGGTACCAAGGGGACCTGGCTTTAGCAATAACAAAATATAACCTGTGACAGAGCTGTGGCACTTTGCATATTGCACCTGCTCTTAGATTCAGGGCAACCTTCTTCTATCTATCTTCTCCTCAGGCTTCAGCACAGTCCAAAGTAACAGCCATCAAAAACCGTGATAAATCTCCCTTAGCAAAGCCCATGGGAATTTTGGAGGGTGGTAATTTAAGTTTTAATAGGTTTTACTGTGGGTCACATCTGTAAAACTTCTATAAACCTCTCCAAAGGTTGGATGTCTCTGTGTTTGCATCCTACCTGATAAGTCACTCCTACCAGGTGACATGTGAAGTACCAATGTCTGACCTAAGCATTCTGTTACACAAATGGCTCAGTCCTGTGACCCCTCACCTTTTGTTTCTAAACAATGATGCTTGGGGTTGTCATACACACGTATGGTTTCTTTTGTCACTTTAATGCTGATGATACTACGCTATTCTTGTAATTCAGATAAAGTCATGCACCACTGTTTGCCTGGCAGACATCTCAGAGTCGATGTCAGGGCATCAACTTAAGCTCAACCTGGACAAGACTTGAACTTTTTCAGAGGAAAGCATGTGCACATGACACCTGACATCACCACTGACAATACTGTAGTGATGGCAACTTGGACAGCATGGTTTTCCGACACCAATCCACTTTTTCATTCACTACAGCCAAGAAGAACGAAGTGTTGTGTCCTTTATGTAGCAAAATCGACAAGGGGATTGATGTTGGAGTGATGTGTGGGTGTCATCTGAATTTTGTGCAGGAGACTTGTGTTCAGGCCCATCACAGTTGTTTCAGTTACCTAACCTTGCCTAGTTTATTTGACAGAACCTTGATCTTGCCTTTAACACATGTGAAGACATTGTAAAAAGAAGACATTTCAGAAATGTTGGCATTGAACATAATCCAGGTTTTTGCAGAACCTTCCAATATCAATTGTCAGTACAGTAAGAAGATTTTGCTTTTTTTGTTGTAAGTGGAAAACTCTGTCAGACTACCATTGGTGAGTAAGGAATTTAATGTGCTTTAGTTGTTAGTTTTCTGTGAACATAGTCCAGTCACAGCTGTAGTTAATAATTTGCCTGTGGGAGAAATCTTTCTTTAATCATGATGTGTGGGAGAGTTTTACTTAATGTATTTATATAGCTGCTGTCAGCTTTGTGTTTTGTTGTGAATCTAGCTGGGTATTGAACTGCAATACTTTCTGACTACGGACTGAATTCATGTCCATAGCACACATGAGGTTTTAAATAAGTTTGAAGTTTTCTTAAATTGTAAGGATTATATCAATATAATCTACATATTTGTGAACAATGTCACTTTGTCAGAAAGATATTATGTGTATATACAGCAAATGTCCATGTCTTGTTTATTTTTATATTCTGTCACTTTATAATTAAATGATTTGATGTAAAATTGTGAACTACACAAATGAATGTGATTATAAACAAATATTTGAATGAATGTAGAATCCAATAATAATAAGTTCTGAAGTTGAGATACATTTTTACTTTTTACTTATTACTCATTTAAAAAGTAACAATATTACTTTAATTATTACTGGGTATTAAAAGTAAATAGTCACGTTACTCATTAAGTTACAATTACTTTCAACCACCGCACATCCTTAAAAGTGACGGGAAATCTCTTCAGCAGCGCATTTTGGGTGTACTGTAACAATTTTTTTCATTAAATTACAATAAAATACTGGAAGCTACAGTTGCCAGCATGAAACTGTTATTCTACAGTGTAACTACTCAATAACAACAGTTTATTACCGTAAAAAATATTACAGTAATGTGCTGTATAGAATATAAGCATTACAGTATAATACTTTTGTTTGGTTGCAGTTATACTGTTATTTTAGTGTTCTCCCGTAATCTCCATAAACAGGTTACTACTGTACAATGTATAAAAGTACTGTAGAATTTAATTTTACAGTATAGCACTATTGTAAGCTAATGATTTAAACATTTTACATTTCAAAGTAAAATACCTCAAAATTGCTAGCATACAAATGGCTCAGACGAGAATTGCCCTTACAACATTTGGCATTTATTAAAGTCAATGTGGTATGAAAAAAATAAAATGACAAATTTTAAAATAAGTACATTTCTCTAAAATAAAATAAAGTAAAACGCAATTTCTGAAGCGGTTCTTGCTTTACTAGCCTAGTCCATGTACCCTATATTCAGTTTAATTTTTTCTTGAACAAGAGATGCCATGTAACATTATGTATTAAAGCCACTGCTTCATACACCTTCAGCAGCTAACAAATTTCAAGTAATGTAATTCTTGTAAAACACAATCCATAACAACAATTAATCATCTCAAGCAGGTTCTTTCAACAATTTTCATACCATACTTAAAACTGTTCCCTGCCTTCAGTGTCCATGAGTTATGATCATGATGTGCAATAGAAAGCGAATGAGATAGAAATAGAAACAAACCTTGAACTATCACTACTCAACTCAAACAACTGGACTAACCATAAGTCCTGTGTGGAGATGGAGATGGAGTGTGTTGTAGACTACATAACCTCTCTCAAAATCCAGGAGTTTTTTATAAGGGAGGCCACATGGGAATTCACATTTGCTGGACCAGCTTCCTGGTCTTCTTGGGCACCACCTTACCCCAGGCTGGCCTTTGTTCCCTTCTTGGGGTTGAAGTGCCTAAAAATTGAATAACAGAGAATTATTTGCACTCAGTATGTAATCCCCTCACATTCACCAAATAAATATTCTAATATTTCACATGGTTATGACATCTGTGTCTCATAATTCATCAGATCAGTCCAAATTGAAAATTTTGGAGAGGATTGTCTCCCACCACCCCATCCTCACCCAGACTTCAAAAATCATGCACGTTGCCAGGTTGAGGACACTAAACCTACATGAATGAGCACATTTACCTTTGAATATTGCAAAAGATGTCTCCTACATTGTAGGTTGTTCTCAGAGAAACCAGTCTTAGCATGTTTCCTAAATCTCTGACATAGCATGGTTTGATTTCTCTACCATGGTGTCTACTGTTACAAACAGTTTTGCTGAATGTAATCTCAGGACAACATAGGAGAAGTGTAGCCTAAGTGCAGTCTATTGCAATTCCAAATTGCTGGTGTGGTTTATGTAGCCTAAATAAGGTTGGTCAATAAACTGTCCATGTAGATTTCAAAATCTGGAGTGGGTTGTCATTATCAGTCTTTATACCAAGATAAAGAAGAGAAATTGTTAAATGACTGACAATGGCTACCTGCAGGAGTTTGTTCATTATTATTTTGTTAACCAACCTTATTCATTTCATGAACTGGAGTATTTGAACCTGCAGCAGATGGGAGACAGACAGAGTAAGAGAGAAGCAAAGGACACAACCTGTAGCAGCTTGGCTGTCTAAAGACCAAACGTAGGACATTAATTATTTCAGAACATTGCAGATGGCTATATTGGAGCTCAATTTTAAGTGGCAAGTTTCTCACTCCTAACGCAAATAGACAAAATCCTGTATTTACCAGTATACACTATGGTAGAGAAGTCACAAACAAACCTAACTTGTATTAACAGCATCACTATAGGTGTACATGGGGGATGCATTCAAACAAAAATAAAAAATGGAGGTTAATGAAATGCTTAAAACCAATGGAAAGACATCAAAAAAGGGTCAAAAACAGCTTCAGATATGCATGCATTACCCTGGGTTCAGACTGCACACGCAAGCGCAGTGAGGCCCTCCTCTCTATCACTCTCTTTTGAAATCAAATTCTAATTTAGATTACCTTTATTGGGAAACATGGCAGATGTGAGAGCAACCTAATGACGCTCTATATCTATCTGGTGTATTACTCTATATTTTAGCATGTGACTAGTAAATGTACACAGTTTACTTTTATGAAACTGTTTTTAGGCAATATGTTTTGTTTGCATGCATGCTTGCACTATGGGTTAACACAAAGTAGGCTAATGTCAAGCAGAACAAACAAAAAAACCTGTATTATACCGTGAGATTGTACATTAGCTTGCTGTTATTATTTTTGTTCCCCCAAGGAGTCAACATATATAGTATTCAGCTGTGTTTATGAATGACGGTACATTACCGTACCATATTAAGATAATTGTGACTGTGGTCCTGAATCTGATGAGTGCATGAATATTGAAATGATTGGGTTTTGTTGTATATATTGTTCAAGGACTCATTCAATACAGACGAGTGAAGGCGAGAGCTACGTGTGTGTGCTTCTTTAACCTTCTCCCGTTACTTTTCACCTTCTTAAGGGCACAACACATTTGTGCTGCCAACAACTGCAACTCGTGGTTCTATTTCAAGTAGCTATTTAAAAACGATAACATATTCTTTAAATGTTCAATAAATGTTTTTATTCTATAGTTTTATTCTTTTTACATGTTTATTTACAGCATTAAACGTTGAAATGTATATTGTAATAGGTTGTATATTAATTTATTGGGAGAAAATCAGATGTTGAGCACCACCATATCGCCAAAATGGCATTATCTTTATTTCACTGCAAAGCTTCGACTGTGAGACTGACTGTTGAATCAGGCTCCGCCCAATAGCAGTATCAAATCTTAGACTATTCAGGGTCAGCCCTACTTATCAGTAAAAAGATTCCTGCCTGATAAAATGTTTTTTTTTTGTGGTATACAATGCCTGATCCTAATCTGAAATGTATTAATAATAGACACTGCTCTAGAGGAAATTAAAGTTTCCTTGACTTAACAAAAACATAACCATTTACAAAAGCTGCTTCCACAAAATTTCTTTATTTTAAACATAAAAATAATAAAATACAATAAATCCTTCACTACGACACTACACTACAAATTGAAAATATAAGATGCAAAATATATCTCTTCTCATTAGATTATTATAAAAGAAATAAAAAACACAAAGCTTTAAATTTGTTTTTCAGTTTTTGTAACCCTTTTCACCTTTTAGAAACGGATGTTTTTCAGAGCCCAGTACACGGTACCTTACATCTTCTAAATTATAGTATTAAAATATAGTATTATATAAGTATTTTAATTCATTATAATTCTAGAATGAGGAGTGGGCCTTTTGCTGCTTACCATGTGTTGTGAAATCTGTGATATATCTGACTATAAGAAACATGATTAAATCTAACACATTAAGATCTTAGACATGAAGTAGCTGTCTAGCAGATTAGCACAAAAACTGTTATCAATAAATGTTCTATTTCATATGTTCCCAGCCCTCTATTGGTTTACACATGTACTCATATACCTGAAGTTACATCCAGGTAACTTGTTTTTTTCATCTGCCTTTCGTAGATTTAACTGTATTCCAGGCGGGCCTTTACACAATATCTCTGTGAAGATTCTCAGTCATCCAGGTGATAGTTATCCAAAGAAGGTTAAAGTCAAGGGCAGAACTGAGGAAGTTCTTTGGGTGAAGGACAAAACATCTTCTAGTATCTTCAACCAAATCCAGTTGCCCTTGACATTAACCTTCTTTGGTTTACACAATATTGGCTAGTTTGAAAATGATATTGGTTAACAAAAACCACGTTTGATTAAACACTAACCAACAAACATGCTCTTACATAAGTAATACATCTTCTCTTGGGTTTATGACGACCTTCCTTTCAGCTGGCTTGTGAATGTGTCTTTGTACATTATACAACTGGTAAAAGGGCATAAAGGGAGCTTTACCTCAGTGTTTTTAGGGAGTAGTTGAGACTCAGAAGTGCCCCACACTGCTCAAATTCTATTATCGGTATATTAATACTTACATAATTGTCAGTTGTCCTGCTGCTGTGAGTGTGGCACTTGTGTAAAATAAATTTCATTTGGGGCAGTAAATACATTTGTATCATTATATACTGTTGAGGTGCAACAAGGCTCCTTGTCAGCCTTTAAGGCTGTCCCTCTCGTCCTGCATGATCGTTTCAATTTGGTTTCCCAGGCTGGAGAAACACGGCCGCTCCTCAAAGTTGTACGCCCAGCAGTGCTTCATCAAACTGTAGACCTGGTGTTACAAAAATATAATAATCTATTTTGCTAGGAGAGACAGAGCAAATGACAAGATATATGTGCGGGGTATAGTATGATGTTGCAGTAACAAGTTTGGCAATCTGAAGGTCAAAATAAGAAGTTTACAATATGAAAACCATAGCTGATAGGTCAGTCTATTCCAGAATTATCAGCAGATGGTGGAATAAAAATAAAGCTAAATAAAAAATTTAAAACTAAATAAAATAAATGAATTGCAGAAGGAAAAAATAATTTTTGTGTGTCGTTGCATTTTTGAGAAACACTTACATTGTTACTCATAAGAGGCCACAATCATCTCACAAATGGGCTCATTTATTTGAAGCAAAATTATCATTACGTATTTTTAGGAACATGTGACTGCAGAAAAGTGGACCTTCAATTTAATTAGAATCAAGATTAAACCCTACCAAAATGGTTCCTGTATTTCGACTATTGAGCCACATAGAGTGAACTTACCTTTGGTGGGCAGTTTGGAGGAGTCGGCAACCTCCAGTCATTCTGTAGGACATTTTCCAGGTGCATTGAAATGGATGGACCCGGCACATTGTGTCCAATCTCCTGCATATATAACTAAAACAGTGACATTAATGAAAAATTTAAAAAGGGGAAACCCACAATGGTGTTGCAGTTTGATGAAACAATTCATTTGAATATATTTAATTATGGTTCATACATTTATGTATCAATAGTAAG